TCAGTAGCTTGCACTTCATTAAATAACCAAAACCAAATAAACAACAACAAAAGTATTACTAATCCAAGAAAAGAAAGAACTGAATGAACTTCATTACACTTGAACCTTACCAGAAACATGATCAGCATCTTCTTGCACCATACCAGAAATATGATTATCATCTTCTTGAACTATACCAGAAACATGATCAACATCTTCTTGAACCATACCAGAAACATGATCAGCATCGTCTTGATCCATACCAGAAACATGATCAATATCTTCTTCTCCTTTGGCAACCATTGGGCAGGTTCTAGCATTGTGACCAAGCACCTTACACTTTGAGCACTTGTTAATGTTCAAAGGTGGTCTTCTTTCACTGCTGTTATCTCCTTTAACATTCAGTTGGCATTTTCTTTTAGTGTGACCCTTCTGATGACACTTTGAGCAAGTCATCCGTGTGACACCCTTCCTGGATAGCTTTGTACAACCTCTAGAATCAGGCCTTGGCTCATCAGATTCTCTCCTTCTTGCCTTTTTAGGCCTTCCAGGCAGCTTCAACTTCTTTGGTGCACACATAGGGACGTTTTTAGATCTCTTCCAGTTATTAGGTCCATTAATTGGACCAATAGCTGGCTCATAAGCTTTCAGATAAGCATCTCTAGAATAACATTGGTGCACTAGACTTTCTGGTGCAGCTCCAGTCAATGCAATGCAACCAACAGCATGAGAGCAAGGTAAACCAGTCAACTCCCACTTTCTGCATGTACAAGTCATTGCCTTTAAATCAACAACAAATGTACTCCCATACATAGGTGTCACCTCAAATCTGGATTCATCAGACCACCTAGCAATACTTGATCTAGAGTCCTCCTTAATCTTTTCAAGTTTTTTTTGAATTTTTGGGCAGATAACATCATTTCTTTTTCTCATCCACTCTCTTTTTGTTCTCAATCTTTCCATTAGGTATATCCTAATATTTTCTAACATACCAAGGATGGGCTTTTCTCTTGCCTCTAATATCACAGAATTAAAGCTCTCACATACATTATTAAGAAGTATGTCACACTTGCAAGTAGTCCTAAAATGTGACCTTGACCAATGGTTGGGTGATGTGTTATCAACCAGCCATTGGTATGCACTCTCATCATATTGCCTCAATCCCTCCATTTCAGCTTCAAACTTATTAACATATGAGCTCCTTGCACATGCCCAAAACATTCCCTTAATAGTTTCACCAGGATGGTGCTTCTTAAAATTGTTGTGTAGATGTCTAACGCAATGTCTGTGCTCCACTCCTGGAATAATTTCTTGGATTGCAGAACCCAATCCCTGATGTTGAAATTACAAAAAAAAAAAAAGTTCACAAATTAGTATAAACTCACATTTTTTTGCAACAGTAGTATTATTAGAAAACATAAATGTTCACCTTCTGCCTGTCACTAATAAATGTCCATCTTTTCTGGTCATGGATTTTAAGATCAAACTTTAAGAACTCGATGAACCATTTCCAAGACATCTTGTTTTCAGTCTCCACAATTGCATAGGCAATAGGATAGATGCAATCATTAGCATCAAGACCTACAGCAGTCAAGAGTACTCCCGGGTGTGGTCCTCTTAGGTGGCAGCCATCAACACCAAGTATAGGGCGGCAACCTTCCTTAAAACCTTTTTTCAAGGCTGCAAAACAAATATACAACCTCTGGAATCTTTCTTTTCCACTATCCTCATCAACCTCTGTCTCGACATGCACTGTGGAACCTGGATTTGAGTTCAATAATTCCTCACAGTAGTCCCAAATCCTTGTGTATTGTTGCTGATACTTCCCTTGAATCAGGATTTTGGCTTTTGCAAAGGTCTTGTAGACTTGATCCTTTGTGATATTCACATTCAACTCCTTATGCACCTTCTCTTTAAATGCACCAACTGTAACTTTTCTATTCATGCGCAAAAACTCCATGTAATATCTAGCCAAAAAACCAGAGTTCGCATGTTTGTGATGGAAAGTTCTACCACACTGATGTTGTGGTCCCATTGTTCTAATTACGAATGCATCAGAATCTGGTTCTTTTGCAGCATAAGTAAACCACATGCATTGTTTATTCTTGCATTTTGCCCTGATTCTTTTATGGTCATTTTTCTCCCAAGTATGCTCCTTACCCCACTGCACAGAATATAATTCAACAGCTCTCTTAAAGAGCATCTTTGTGTCAAACAGTAAACCAACAAACAATTTAGGTTTCTGCATGTCAACTTCTGGCCTAAATCTCACATATTTCGGCTTACTTCTTGAAGTGTTTTCATCTGAGGAATCATGGCAACTGTGTAACTCCTCTGTGTTTATGGAATCTGATTCCTCTTGGACAGGAATTTGGTCCCCGTCATAAACATCAAAATGCAAGTCAGCAGCAAGACTTTCTTTTACTTTTGCTTGTTCTTGCCTATGTGATTGTACTGGTACTTTCTTCTCTTCAGCATTTGGTATACCAGCTTTCCCTCCAACACCAACATTACATATGACATTCTGGCCATCAATTGCATTGTCAACAGTAGTACTACAATGATTAAATATTATGTCATCCTCATCTTTACTAAAATCGTAGTCACTATCATGAAATCCTTCACCATCATCACCTGACTCAGATTCTGCCTCATTTTTAGCCTCAGCACCATCCTCTTCTTCAGTTTCAGGACCTCTCCGTTTACCATTGTTCAATTCTTGGACGGGAACATGAACTGGAAGTTCTTCATTCCCAATGAAGTCATCAAATGTGATGTCCACATTCCATAAATCCTCATTTTCCTTCTTAGTTTCACTTTCAACAGGTGAGGAGTTCTTCAAACCAAGATCTATGGATCTAATATGAAAGTCATATACAACATAAACTTCAACTTTTCCAGTTTGTTTACCTATGGCAACCATGTCTATTACATCATCTTCACCATCTATCTGCCTAAGTCTCAACCCACCATTTTCAGTTGGGATTCTATACCTATAGTTAGCATCTGCATGACACCCAAGTAAGTAGCCAAAACCTCTGACAGCAGCCATATTAATTTTTTCGGCCAAAACCCCCTCAAAAAGCTCCATGCTACCACCCAAATATTTTGTTTCTGGTTTTTCAAAATATGCCCCACCATAGTAGACATACAGAGTAAACTCAGCCGACTCAGCACCTGTTTCATTTTCAAACAAATTAAATTAATTTACACCACAATCTAGTAGTTTACAAGCACATGATTTAGGGTACCATTGTCTACCTTTTTCACAACATGAAAGCAACATTACACATTAAACTTAAGGGATAGGGACCACATGAACCCATCTCTACAAACAACGACAAAAAAAATAACCTAAACAAATTCCCGACCATCAGTTGCAGTAAAATGTTTGCTAGTTAACATAAGATAACCCCACCAACCATGATTATGCTATTAACTTAACAAAACAGACAGCATTATAGTCCTTAAACTTACTTGCTTTTCTTGACTTCCTCTCCTCAACATTGCTCCTTTCCTGCATATTGTCCCCCACTGCCTCCATCATTTGCTTTCTTATGCCCTCCGATTCCTTATTTAACACGATTTGCTTTGATTTTATTTAGCAGATCATCGACTCAAGCCCTGGATTTTGTCCAAGACATTTTTTGTTTTCATTTTGGATTTTTGGGTGTGTATTTATCGCAGACTTGTTTCGTTTACTTTTTAATTGGAAAAGGCGCCAGAATGGAATTCCCTAAAATGCCCCTTTTGTATTGCACGATTATGAACCTAATGGAAATTATACGGTGGCGCCGCTGCAAAGATCCTTGATTGGAACCGATATATAGGTTTAGGGATCCAATTGGCTAGAAATAATATATAGGGACTAAATTGACGGAAAAAAAAAGTTTAGGGACTAAATTGGTGATTTTCCCTTTACACCCATTTATGGACGAAAAGTTGAAACCCATTTAAACCGGTTTAGAGCTCCAACCTGATGGAAGCCAGCCCCGTATCTGTCACCTTCCAAACCTCACCAACCGAATCGATAATTTTACACGTGTCCTCTTAGCTTGCCTTCTAATGCGTCACAATCTTAGCTCACCGTAACCAACAGGTATGTGTAACACCCTCGAATCTAAGAGTACTAGTATATTACCTAAATCATAAGGGATAATTGCAGTTATCATCCTTTATGTTTACTGTATTTTGTTTTTCAGCTCACTTGTATTCGTTTAACATTTTTAAGTTCATATATTTGTACTAATTGTAACTAAGGCCTTGTTTGGATTGCTATTTCTTTGGAGTTTTTACAAAAAAATATACTGTAATAATTTAATGTATGTGAGATAAGAGGATAATTGAAAAATGTGTTCACGAAAAATATAAAAATTTTATGAGAAAAATGCCTTTCCAAACAGACTCTAAGTTTTTCATTTTTAAACTTTAACACATTTGATCTTTTTCAAAGAGTCTAAGATGACTCAGTAAGTTGTTTGTTGTCCTCCAACAATGATAGATAAATTAGCAAATATGCATATGATCAAAATTTTAACTAATAGAGTTTATATTTAGAATGCCAAAACGAATGAGAGTTGAATAATAAATGTTTAAAATGAGTAAAGTCAATATTCTTCAATTTGAATTGTTTATGTGACGCATGTAAATTCGTTTTTCAAGAAATAACATGCGTACAACTCATGGTATAATCATACCTGGTCAATTCATTATTGTAGTACATAAGGGAAAAATAAGATAAAATCAAGAAAAAAATTAAAAATTTTCATTTTTAAGAATACACATAGGACAATTCAATTATTGCCTCCCATAGAATTTCCTCCTTATAATGCTCATGTCTAAAAAAAATTTGTTGAACAAAAAACAACAAATGTTTTGGAATGAAACATTATGGACTAAAATGGAACTAGTATTGAACGTAAGGGACTAAAAGTGAAATTCATGACCAGCCACCAGGGACGGGAAAAAAAAGCAAGCCGGAAAAAAAAAGAAGAAATAAATGTACAAACATTACCGGAAAATTAAGAAATGGAGAGAGAACAGGAGATCTGCTCGAACAAATAAACCGAAAAAGGAAAAAGAAAAAGGAACTCTCTCTCTCCGATCAGATCGGATTCGAAAATTTCACGGTTTTTACCCTTTTGCCAGAATTCTGATTTCAAAATTTTGAAATCTTTGGGTGAAAATTCGACCGTTTTTCTGTTCAAAAGAACAATTTATTTTTCGGAATTTACTCGTACCTGAATGTATTTGTATATACACATTTGATTTGATCGTCGTGGTAATATTTGAAACTAGGGTTGCTCTCAAATTCAAGGTTTTTGATAGGGATATAGAAGGGGGAAGGTGGAAGTGGTAAGGGGAAGATTTTTGGAATTGAAGAATTTGAATGGCGTCGGCGCAGGTTATGAGAAAGCAAGACCATTTGGAAGCTGGAAAAAGAAAGGTGCCAAATTTGTTTAATTTCTTAGTTAAAATTTTTGGATTTCCAATTGGGTTTGCTACTTGCTTGAAGTTACATTGTTTCTCTGGATATATTTTCTGGGATTATATTTGTTGGAAGGTGGATGATGGCTGATTCAATAATGGTAGTTTAAAGATTGTGGTAGCATTTTCAATTTGAATTTATTGATCTAGCTGCATATGTGCTTGTTTATCTTGTATTTTGGGAGATTATGGTTCTTTAGGTGTCTATATCATCTGTTGCAGCGTGTAACTGGTGCTCACAAATAGGAAGACTAAAGCCAATTAAACCTTGCATTGCGTATGTAGCCCATTAACTAAGATTTTTTTGGTCCACGTTTTAAAGTTTCAGAAAAAGTTCCATTCCTGCCGACACCATCCCACATTTGCTTGGCTACTTCTTCCCTCCTCTTCTATGCTTCTAGATTTTAGCAAAAGTTGGAAAAAGAAATATACTAACATGGGTGCTCTAAAGAGTTCTTTTTGAATAATATCATACTAGAAACGAGAAACTTAGGCTGTCAAAAGAAGTATTTTTTGATACGGTCAAGATGGAGTTTTTTGTTTTGAAGTCATAGCTTGTTTTGTTAGCTAAACAGCCAGGTTTTCCACTTCGTTTTGTTGGTCGTTGCTTGGTACTAGACCACAAGACAAGTCTTGGCACAGCTCCTTTATGTTGTGGGCATCAAGGGATTGTTGTGTGGAGTAACTTTCCTATCTAAGGGGAAGAGTTATAAAAAATATAGAAATATATACTCAGGCAATAGTGGGTTTGTTGTTCAGTGGATTTGTTCTTGCTACTTCTTGTTCAGTGACCTGTGTGGTAAAGGTTAAGGAATATACTGGTTGGAATGAAATTTCTTATGCATTTCAAATTTTTTCAGATGTTGTCTAGCCCTTGTTAAATAGTTTATCATAGTAAATGGCAAATTTAAAGGAATCTTGTTATATAGAAAAGTAGGATACAAACTGTGATGTTTTGATCACTCTGACTACCTTATTTATTGCCTCACAGCTAGAGGAGTTCCGTAAAAAAAAAGCTGCTGAAAGGTCCAAAAAGACTACCTCTGTTACCCAAATTAACACCTCTGATGGGGGGTCCCATGAGAAGCAACTTTCGGATTCTGAACGTGTACGGCTTGTTGATTCTGATGTAGCTGGTACATCTGATGCAGTTGGAGCAGCTGTTTCAGAACCTTCTGGTGTAGTAATTAACAAAGATAGCAAAGAAACTGAGGCATCCCAGAAAAGTAGCTTTACTTTTTCTCATGATGAAAGTGCAAACCTTCCTCCTGTAAATGAATTTGCAGTTAACACTTTTGTACCATTGCATTCTCAGTCATCAGACAAAGAATTTAGAGGTGATGACACTTCACAACTTAATGCGGATTATGGCCCACAAAACAAAAAAGGAATTGATGGAGCCTTAGACAGCACATCATCTGGAGTTGCAATAGATCAAACTTTTGCTCTTCATCTGCCATCTGAGAACATTGGCAGTACTTCAAGACCCTTTGGTTATGATGGGTTGTATGATACCTTGTCTAGTAACAGTGATAGTTACTTGAAAGATCTCTCAGTAACTAATTCTAAAAGGTCTCATTCTTTCACTGCAAATGGCTTTCCTGAGGATTCTGGAACTGTTTTTCTACCTGAAAACTCAGGTTATGGGAATCACATGTTTAGCAACCATATGTCCTCATCTTTTGGAGGTAATTCCATTGTTGTTTAATTGGTTTTGTGTCGATGCATTCTTGTGATTTTATAACACATAATTGAAATATCCATTGCTCTTGACTACCTAGAACTTTTCTTGTAAAATGGATGGTTGTTTTCTGACAAAGCTGTCTAAGGCTTTTTGTTTTTCAATGGAAGTCTCCATGCAGTCCACAATGAGTAATAGTCACTACTTTTCTTTTGTAGTGGAGAAGATGGGCGCTTATGACTATAATAATTTCATGGTTTCTGGTCTAGGAGAGAGCAAGTTTAATAGCGGCTCAGCTCAGTTGTCTGGTGCCAATAATTTATCTCCATGGAGCTCATCAAATTATAGGCAACAAACTCTATCCTCAGAAACTAATGTCAGGAGGTCTCGTCCATCTTTCCTTGATTCCATCAATATATCACGAGGTCCTTCTGCATCGCCTCCTATGTCTGGACCAAAGGTTGAGCTACTTGGTTCAAAAGTACACCCAGAGGACACTTTAAGCTCGTATCCTGCACAGAACTCAACACAATCTTCCGTTGCTTTGGGTAATGGGGCGGACATGTTCAAGCAAGTTATGGACAAAGGCTTGGATAATAGACAAGAGCTTTATCCACGGAAACAAGATGAAGATTTTGCTGCGCTAGAACAGGTTTTTAGTGTTTTCTTCCCTCTTTTTTGTATTGCTGAACATTACTTCATCTATACATTCATTATGTGGGCGCTCATTTTCATTCTATTTTGTCCTTTTGGGTTATGCTGCAGTAGCTTTTCTAAGTAATCATTTTCTATTTAAAACTGGGTAGATAAAGGGAGATCAAATTGGAAGGCTTAACCTTTGATCTATTTTAGAGTTTTTGTTTGAAGCATGTAAAGGACATTTTGGGTTAGGTTTTGGTTGGAGTCTATGTTTTCTTTTGTGACTGATACATGTATACCTTTGTTGTGGTCTGTTTTTTAGAGGTACATGCTAGTTGAAGAACAATTGGAGATGGATAAATTGATATACTTGTTCATATACCAAAATTAGATGTAAGTGTACATGGGCAGTGAATTGCATGAGATGATTGTATACTGCTGTGGCACATGTGCTAATTGCGATTTACCAATTGATGAAAGTAGCCATGGAAGTTGCATTGAAATGTAACTGTAGTATGGATTAAAGTGGAATGGACTCAGGCTTTTCTGGTGACATTCTAACATTATTTTCTTTTCTGTTTTCACTATCTTCTCGATTTTCAGCATATTGAAGATTTAACACAAGAGAAATTTTCTTTGCAACGTGCGCTTGATGCTTCACGAGCTTTGGCAGAGTCCTTGGCTGCTGAAAATTCAGCTCTTACAGATAACTATAATCAACAGGTTATTTCTTGTCAAACCTGTGCGTTTTGACTTTTGTGTCTATTTGTAGAAATTGTTCTTTCAAGTACACGCTACTTTTCTTTAAAAATTGTGTGTATGCTTATGTGATTGTAAGTATGTTTCTTAGATTTGTTTGGTCAATGTCTCTTATTCAACTACATGTTCTGATTAAGCTTGTACAGCCTGGATAAGAATAAGTTACTGACTGTTTTTCTTGCTTGCATATTTTATTGATGGTTTACTTATGATGCTTTTACTGACTCTTTTATGTGTATGCTTTACTTATTGTGCCTCTGTTACTTTACATCTCTTTGCATATTGTATCCTCAAAATTCAAATTTTTTACTTGGAAGATCTCTAGAAAAATTTGATTGTTATTAGTTTTTCTTTATCATCAGTAAGGTTTTGGAGTCTTTGTTACAATGCCTGCATAGGAGGCAGCCCAACATAGCTTCTATATTGGTTGTTAATTATTAGCCTTCTGGAGAATTGATAGTGAGAATGACAGGAAAGACAGATTAAAAATCTCCTTTGGCTCTTGAAGGGACAAAGGTGGGGCAGTCTTTGTTGTTATTAAATACTGGATTGGTGTTGTGTTAAGGGGTATAGTTTTGGTTGTGCTACTATTTTGGTGGTGTCCACCGCAATATTTAGAATAATTTTTCTGGCTGATGATGTGGTTCAATCCCTATGTATAGCAGCCTTATAGTTTTGATAGAAGGTAGATCATTTTGGGGTGTTTTTTGTCCTCTTTTTTATCTTCAAGTTGGTTTGACGCTGACAAATGCAACTGTTATAAATCATAAGGAATGTTAAGTGCAGTTGTGATCGACTATTTTCTAGTGTATTGATTTTGGGACTATCTATAAATGGACTTTGTAAAATTCCATTCACGGTGCTGTGGGTTTTGTTTGTATTGTATTTTTTTTTTTAAATTTCAATTTATATGTTATTAATTTTTATTATTCCCACTGGCCATTTTCATTTTATTGTATCCATTTTGAACTTTCGATGTCACCTGTGTTTTTGGCTTAAAAGACTTGTTCTTTCTGTCCAGGGAAGTGCTGTGAACCAACTAAAATCTGACATGGAGAAGTTACAAGAGGAAATTAGAGCCAATCTGGTTAGCATTTGTAGTTTAATGTCCTTGCCTCTACTGAGTTATTCTATGCTGCTGAATATTACGTTTTCTTTTTCAATTATATCAGAAATTACTCTGCTTCATAAACAACATCATTACCATACAGCTTCAGAGTCTCACACTTTCTGGGGCCATTTGCATTGCATCTTCTATTGTTAGATTTTGTAACAATATGAGGATAAACCGATGGAGTTATTCATAAACTGCTTACGTGCTGTTGTCCAAAAACTTGACCATAAACATGGTTACCTTGATGTAAAATACAACTAAGATTATCTTACAAGCAATTTTGATGCTGGATTTATACTTTTATTGCATTTTTCCCGTACAATTGGTGTGGCTGAATGTTAAAAGATGGGACTAAATTTTAATGAAGTTGGGTTTTGGCTAGTTCATGACCAGTTCTTGCAGTATTTGATTCTTTCATTTTTGAGAGTGTATATTTCTCTAAATTTTTAAGCTTAATTCAATTTTTGGGTAGATATTTGGCTTTTGAACAATATTAAGGAAATTTAGCAATGTGCAAAAGTAAATTGGAACAAAGTTCTCCTCATAATCTTTTGGCATCATTTAAGTCATAAAGAATAACCGTGTCTTCCTTTGGACATAAAGGTCGGCATGGAAATGTTAGCAAGTAATCTGTATAGTGGTGGGTTTCTCTGAAAGTTCTTGAGATGTAATTACCAGCTTAGGTAGATTCTGGCAATTAACAGGAACAGAGTGACAATGAAGCTGATACTAAGGGTGTTTTTCTCATCAATGTGGTTTTGTATTTACTCCATGCTCATTATATGCATAAAATTAACTTCTCTGATATGATTATTTTTTGATTGCTGATACAACCCTAGGGCATTTGATTGAGATTTTGTTATTAATTAGACACAACCTCAATTCGAGGGCTTCCATGATTTGCTTTACTGGGATGTCTGACATGTGTGGCAATAACTCAAACCTTGAGCCAAGGTCAACATTACCAGCCACCGTCACTGAAGCTTGTGTAACCTCTAGGGAATAACATCTATTGACTTAGTTGACTGGCCATAATTCCACGCATCAGGAGTTTATGAAGGGAACTGTTTCTATTTTCGATTTAGGGTCCAAAACAGGTTTGATAACTAGGTTTGAATAATTTTTGTTTCCCATTTTTTTGCTTTCGACCTAGGGATTGCAACCATCTGTTCTGTCATCATTGTATGATGGATAATATGATATCAACTTCTTGTACATTCTTTCTTCAGGTGTATAATTTTTATTTCTGAAAATAATTTCTCTTCGTAGGTGGAGCTGGAAGCTGTGAGAATAGAATATGGAAACGCACAATTGGAATGTAATGCAGCAGATGAGCGTGCCAGGTTATTGGCATCTGAAGTTATAGGGTTGGAAGAGAAGGTATTTTTTATTTATCTTATGGCAATAATTTGCCAGGTTACATATATTCTTAGGTCCTTTTGATGATAGGAAAGCACGGCAGTGGTAAAATATAGACTAGGTACTCAGTATAAAGTAATCTCTCTACTAGTGTAATAATTTGAACAGGTGATTGCTGCACAGGGCTAATTTTATTTTTTCATTGGCTGTTTGATTTTGATTATATACAATGACGTGTGTTGTTATCTTGATGCTCAATATTTTGATACAAAAAAAGGAAATTAGGTGTCTCTTGTGGTCTGTGTAATGGGTGTTGTAGTTTTGAAGAGGATGTAACAAAAAGTGAATCACTTTTGATTAGAGACGCTTTTATCCATTTCCCTAATTTTGAACTTCTTTTTCAGTCTTTGGAATGCTGTCTTCAATAGATGCTGAGTAATAGGACTCAAATTTGTCATTGTTCTTTTTTTTTTTTTCTTTTAAATCAAGTTAGAAGATATCATGCTCATGGCTCTGCGAAATTTTAATGGTCATTTAAGGCAATCTTTGAAATATACTTCTGCGGTGGACTGACATTATTGAAGGTATTATGCAAATAAATAAACACCTGATTATCTGATAAAGATTTCTGATGTGATAACCTCTAATTAGACCCTAATTTGAGAGAATTATGTGAGCATTATATCTCAAGTCGGAAGAGAGTTTTTTGACATCAGGTTTGGTGTTGGAATTGCACTTCTTCTTACCAGTGACTTCTTTGTTTTAGATGGACCTTTGGATATTTACTCAACTATGTAGATTCACTTTCCTTGTAAATGGATGATAAATGCCAGTGAACTGTCTGTTTCTTTCAGAATTTAGTCTGGAAAAAGAAAAAATTCTGTACTTTTTGGAGAATTTCCTGATAGTGTCCTTGTTTTATCTTGTTGAGAATAGCCTGCAGTGGGAAGATGATTTTTATTTTGTCTAGAGTGCTGCCTAACATCAAGGGTTTTGAATTTGTTACTCTGTATATGTTTATATGGCCTGGTGAACAACTTCTTGTGATATTGTGAACCTTTTGGTGATATAAATTTGCTTATTCATTTGTCTAGGCTCTTCGATTGAGGTCTAATGAGCTAAAACTGGAGAGACAGCTGGAGGAGTCACAAGCTGAAATTTCTTCTTTCAAGTATGAATTTCACATTTGGGTGTTGATAATGAGTGTCTTTTTTTTTGGGGGGGGGGGGGGGTTGTTATATTACCTGATCTGCAAATGTATAAATGATTTATTGACAAATTTAATGTTAAAAAAGTTGCTATATCTTCTGAACAAAAATGATAGTTACTTTATGATAGTTTTCTTTCAGTATAACACAAGGAGTTTGACTGGGTTAGTTTTTGGCCAACAATGAGAAGAATGTTCAATATTGTTTTTCCTTGCTTCTGATATTTCTTGCTTGTATCTGAAACTTCAGTTGAAAAATTTTTATATCAGAGGTTTGAATAAACTTGCAAGTTCAAATTGATTTTTGCTTAAAATGTTATATATGTCACTGGATGAAGCTTGTAATTGGTCATATTATGTAGTTTTATTTTCTATATCTAATGTGGAAGATCTGCTAATTCCTTGTGTAAAGGTGAAGAAAAGCATATGTAGTGGGTAAAGGTTTTTGTGGAGTTGTAATGAGATAAAAGACTTGCATATCTAGGATCCATAGATGTTTTATGTTTTTGGCAGGTAGGATTAGTTTGGATAAAGTATAAAATTTGTGTGTTTTTCAGACTCTTATGGATTCTGACGCTTTTTAATTGCCCATATTGGCTCTGGGTGTTGCAATTTACCATCTGCTTGACTGTTAGAGATTTATGCAAAGGTCATAACAGCATAGATTTGTGATTTTTAAGGCTGCTGCCTGTTTTTCTTATCTTTTAAAATTTCTTTGTCTGGTGGTTTATGTGTAAAATGTCTTTCTTCCACATAACTGGCCCTGACATTGATGTTACATGGGCTGCATGGTCAAAGTGAATTGATGCCTTTAACGTACATGAATTGATCTTTCTTGGCATTTTTTTTACATTAAATATCAGACATTTTTAAAAAAAGTTTCCTAATTGGATTATGCAGGAAGAAAATGTCAAGCCTTGAGAAGGACCGTCAGGATCTGCAATCGACGATTGCTGCATTACAAGAAGGTAAGGCCTAACCTTCTATGGTATATGTCCTTATCATTGCATCCACATTAATTTTTCCTTCTCATGAAATTACTCTGTAGTGCCTTGTAAATCTTGCAGAATTTCACAAATAAATGCTGTACATGCCTATGAGTTCTGGCAGGACAACACCTAGAATTGCTGCAAACAAGATGATTTATTAAAAATTTTCTTCTACTTACAGAGCTTGTTAAATATCACTCTGTTTTTATGTGACTAGCTAGACATAAAACTTACTAGTAGTGGTTGCTCTTCTGCCCTAGCATTGTCTGAAGAAAAAGTCCAACAATCTTTTTAAAGGTAATACTGGGAAAGATGTTGAACCTGGCATGTTCTGGACTTTTATTTAAGTAGTTGTGAAACAGTTTTCTGATTTAATAATTTGAAGGCTAGGTGGTTGTGTAGTGTCAATGAATCAATTTATGACTTTATTTTGCATACTTGTAGCACATGATTTGCTCATTCAACACAAAGTTTAATTTTTGTAAGCTGAGATAAGCTTGAGTTTGTTTGGTCCACCATTCCTGCTTTTTTGGACAGCTATATTACACACACTCTCTTTTCTTGGTTATGACAAAATCTATATAGACGGGTCGTTTGCAGGAACACCTTTGTATGTTGAATTCACCAGTTCATAAATTTGCATTTGCCTGGCAATATTTTGTCCATGTTTTTCTTCTTTCTATGCGCCAATTTTTGTGTCATTTGTTGATTGGGCATGATTATAGCATTGAGATTGCTTTCAAAGACTAGGCAATGATAAGCATCTCATAAACCATGCAGTGAAAAGAAATTTTACTTTGATGGAAATTCTTGCTAGGATTGCTTGAACTCATAGTAGTTCTGTTTGCATGAAGGTTAAATGATCATATACTCTGCAGAATGTGCTGTATGTGATACTGTAAAGAATTCACAGTATATCTGGTTGAAATCTGATATATTTGATGCATAACAAATTGATGTGGTGGCCCATAACATTCAAGAGTATGGTATTGGAAATTCCATAAGCTTCACTAAATATTCTGTTCTTGAATCTTTGCCAAGTCAAATTTATCAGTGGAGATTGCTGTTGGTTGCTGGGTTTTTTGATGTATCCAGAGTCATTCTAAGTTATTTCCATGAAATTTGCCACTTATGTTCGTGAAGTATAACCTATAAACTCGTATGTCAATTTGACTTACTCCACATGACATATTTTAGACTTCTTTTTTACTATATTTAAATTTCTCTTGGACAGAAAAGAAACTGTTGCAGTCCAAGCTACGAAAAGCATCTGGAAGTGGTAAGGCTGTTGAGGTTAGCAAGAGCCCAACTAGTAAGAAAGATGTTTCAACCTCGACAGAAGATCTTGGTATGTTATTCTGACACTTTTCTTATCTATGAAAGAATGGATGTATATGTTTTCGTGTTTGAGTTGTATCCGCGGCTTTATTGATCCTTTTGCTGTTTGTGGCTGTTGGCATAACACAAAACCCATTAACTGAAATCCTTGTGCAATATGTCATATATTTTATTTCAATTTGCCATTGGTGTTGAAACCATTTTCAGGTACCCTGTTTTTCAATTACAAGAAGGTATTGGAAGCTATGATACTTTGATATCTTTCTGCCTGTAGCACTTTATGATGTATGTTTATCTTTCCTTTACAATTAATTTGTCGATCTCCATCAAAGGCATAATTAAAATTGATCCAGAGCCTAACCAATTCAAAAAACCAATTTGTCGAACCAAGGTGTGTACATCACAGACACTTCAATAATCGACATCCGTTCATTGACTCATCTGGCTGTGCATCAGGTTAAAGAAAAAGATATGCTTTTTTTTTTGTCTGCTTTATGCATTGAATAATTTCTCCACACTGTCAATTTGGTGGACCATTTATAGGCTGTGCTGGCACTCCCATCAAAAACTGTTCCAAGCCTCCAATGAGCTTTGTTTGTATTTTCAAGCATGCCATCCTATTGGATCAACAAGCTTACATATTAAAGAAATTAAATATTACAAATTGTTATCTGTTTGTTCTCATTCGGAAAGCTGAATGAGGTAAGTGCAAGCCTCAGCACCATTTGGACAATCATGATCTTGGAGGTTTTAGTTTTAGTCAAATAGATTTGCCATGTGTAATGGCAGGTAGACTTAGATCTGCTTAGTTTCATGCAACAACATGGCAGCAGGGCAGGATTTTTATATTTCAGAAAATTTACCATCCAACATTCTTAACATTATTTCCCTGGTCTATATCTTAGACATCATTGACTGGGTTTTTTTACCCAACCCTGCTCTATAATGCACCTTATTTTGATCTATAGAACAGCTTCTACACATAAATTTCCCTGCATTAATATTTTTTTCCTTATCCTATTTGATCTTATCCTATTTGATCTACATACTGTCTAGCACTTATAGAAAGACCCAACCCATGACAGCGGGTATGAGGAATTTTCTGATCAACAGTTAAATGTTAATTGAAATGGTATAAGGCATTGTTTGTGGTAGACATCTCTTCATTTTTTTTTTAAGTTTTGAAGAAGGTTTTTGGGGGAGGAGGAGGGGGAGGGGGGGAGGAGAAGAAGGGGATCATATACTCACTGAAAGCTGCAGTGGGTTCTGAATTTCTCTTCTTCACACCAAAAGGTCTAAAGAGACAAGGGTGGATCCTGTTGTGTTCCAATTAGCTCAGATTGAAATTGTCGTCCAATTCTTCAACTTTCATCTCTCTCCCCTGTGCACTTGAACATTTAGTATTCTAATACTCCAAGTCTGATTCCTTTCCTTTGCCTACTTCAATGTGGAGTAAATCCATCACGGGCTCCTAATTTATAAAAAGGTGGGGAGATTTGGGCTCTGTAGGAATTCTCTTTTCTACCTAGAATGGGTTTATGCATTGGCTTTTTATTTTCAATGCTGTTTACTGTGGTTTTTACTTCAAATGATTGATTGTTTAAACAGGGGCAGTCACTATTTTAAGAACTATGTAACTCTGTTGCTAGTATTTTCCTATGACTGGATCTTACTAGGACTATTTTTCTATAGGTGGCTTTATAAATTATCCGAAGGGGATGCTCTGTTTCCTTGTACTCCTTGAATAACTATTTCTGACTCCCTTTCCTTTTGTTTGTCTAGACTTTCTTTTCATGTTATTATTTCCAAAAATATATTATCTCTTCAGGTGAAAACCACGACGTAGATACCAGCACCAGCACTTCTAATATGGAAGGCAATCATGGAAATGATTCTTCCAGCATTCCACTTCTGCATGATAACAGGGATTTCAACCTTCAAGATTTATCTTTGGCTATTCCTCCTGACCAGACAAGAATGATTGAGAACATTAACACATTAATTTCAGAGGTTGACTTCTGTAGTTTGTCTCCTTTTATTGTATAGATGCTTTTCAGTTTTGCTCTTTAATCTTATGTGGCACTTCTGTAACTGCAGTTAACCTTGGAAAAAGAAGAGTTGGCACAAGCCTTGTTTGTTGAATCGTCTCAAAGCTCTAAGCTTAAGGTATTACTCTCCAACCAGATCATAATGGTTACATTGTCAAAAAACATCGTCAAACATGCTTAGAAGCAAATAGTTGTAGTGTTATAATCGGACCGTATAGTGGTTGGTGGAGTGGGGTGGAAGTATGGAAAGGAAGGTTACAGAACATTAAATTTGATTATTTGTGGGATCAGTGAAGTTTGAAATAATAGGTAAAGCTAGGTACCTGACCCTCTATACTGTAACAGAGGGTCATATCAATCTTATTCCTAAGATGACTTAGACCATATATCTCACGATGACATGTTTTTCAAACTCTCGCTTGGGCAATTATGGAAGTTGGCTTAGAAGGCTATGGATCTCTTCTTTATCTCTGTCATCACATAGTTCACTCAAAATCTCCTCCTCTTGATGTACGTTTATAAATACATGCACGTAAATAAAACTCATTTGAAGAGGTAAGGTAGTGTTCTGAAACTTAGTTATCTCCTGTCGAGAAATGTTGTTATGTCTAGTGGAGTTTGAAAATAAAATAAAAAAAATGACAGTAGGAGTCTGCCAATGATTCAACTTTGCTGAAAAATCATTTTGATGGTTGAGGCATTTTGGATACCTAGCCTAGATGAGTGCCTCTCCCCCCCAACCCCAACAAACGAGTGTTTAACAAGTGTACTAGGCATCTTAGAGCTCTGCAAAGCCTTTGCTGCTATTCATTTCATCGGCAACTTCATTTTGTCACCAGCAATAGGGAAAAAAGGTTCTGCATAATGCCCTGAAAAGAATTAGTTTAAGTTGGGCCAAACGGTAGTTGATGGAATTAACTAGCTAAAGGAATGTCTTTTTTAACTAAATGTTATAAATTTTTTTTTTGTCTACGGTGATAGGTGAGTTTTTGATGCTTCCATCTATTGCTTGTTTTCTAACTCGTGTAACTAATACAAAACATTCCAAAAAGTTTTTAAAATAGAAAGTTGCCACAATTGCTTTAGGGCATTTGAGGTTACAAGTATACTTTGTTTTTTAATTATTTTTTCCTTGAGGTTACAAGCATACTAAAGCATATTGTAGTTGCATGAAACTGTGTTATCATAGAGATTCCTTCTTGGTGCTGCATTTGAAGATTCCTCTGTAAAATTTGATTGTTGGACTTGTCTCACTGAAGGACTTGAATAAGGAGTTAACTCGAAAACTTGAAGTTCAAACTCAAAGATTAGAGCTTTTGACTGCCCAGAGTATGGTGAATGACGTTATCCCAGTAAGACAACCTGATACTCGTACAGTGAACGATAATATTCCATATGCAGATGAAGGAGATGAGGTACTTAATCTATTTCCTTCATTCAGCTTCCTTAGACATTTCAGTTACTCCAGCTCTATGATTTTATTTTTAGGAGTCTTCTGATTATAATACCTTTATGGTGGAAGGATTGATTTGAGTCTTATTTACTCATCCTACTGATATTGTGGTAGTGATACTTATTTAATTCAAATTCTACTCAAATTGTCAGGGTTGGGCTTAACCTTTGGTAATTAATTAGTTTTGGACATTTCATTTGGACTGGCAGATATAAGCTTGTAGGTTGGGCATTCTCAGTTGTGATTTGCTAATTAGAGGGAAAGGATGATCCTTAACAGTAGTATTTCTATGAACACCTTTTCCAAAATGGGATCATGTGATTAAAATCTACTCGTGTTTTAAATGTTGTCTTCTGCTCTATGATCTCTTCTCCTTGAATTATGCTCTGTTCTCTCTGGTTTTTTATCTCAATTTTTGGTTTATGTTTTGGTGCCTACTGAAATTTCAAATAAGAAATTTGTCTCATCTGGTATGAGGGGTAAGGGTAGACAAAGCATCAGTAGACTAAGAAGCCTATTTAAATAGATAGCCACTATGGAAACCTTTCAGATAGATGAGTCATAAGCTCTATATGTGTTAAGGCAATGAAATTTGTTACTTATAATTACAAGTAAATGGACTGCTATTTATGTTGAGGAGCTGCTAGATACTGGCTAATTTAGTTTTGCTTTACTCACATGATAAAATTTGAAGCAAGTCCTTGATCCTCGAATATTTTCCTTCCATAATATCAGCCAAATTAGTCCATCTTGATAGCTACTAGAATTTCTTTTTTGTGGTCAAATTTTTTTTTTTTGCTGATTCATTTGTTGGACTCTTCGAATTAATTTGCTGATTCCTTTGTCTGGAATAGGTGGTGGAAAGGGTATTGGGATGGATTATGAAGCTCTTTCCTGGAGGGCCATCAAGGCGGCGAAGTAGCAAGCTACTTTGACTTTCCAGTGGACACTTTCTTAGTTGGGGCTTCTAGCAGATGTGTTTTGGTTCAAACACAATCAAATTTTTGTACAAGATGACGGTTGCAGTTGTATATTGTGAGTGACCGATATAGTCCATTCTTTTGTCTCAGAAAGACAATGGTGTTGTTGGTAATATTGGGAAATGCTATTGTCACTTCTTGAAAGAGTTGGCAATAAAGATAGACGCTCATTTTAAATCTACAGATGGGTCTATGAAAAGCTATTGGGTGCATCGATTGTGAACCACAAGGTAAACATTTGAAACAGGTGTTAGAAAGATAGATGTTAGTGCAGGAACGTGAGATTGTATCATAATTTTGTTACAGTTGAAAAGGAAGAAAGGCAAATGTACTTGGTTCTTTTGGAGAAAGTGACTTGTATTCTTTATTCTTCCAGTTACAGTTCTATTTGTAGTTTGTTACACTTACTGAAAGATTAAATGCCAATATATGAAAGAAAGAACATTTGAGAATTTCAGATCTCCTTAGAGATCTTAGATTGTACATGGACTCGTTATCAGGTTTTCTCTCTGCTTTCCCTCCTTTTGTTGAACTTGAAGCTGGACACATCTATTCTGAGAATACAGAGCAGACCTCTTCCTGCCCCAGCCCCCAACCCTTGAGCAGATTTTCTTTATGTTACGCCCTTGCTAAGGGGCAACTTTTGTTCAGTAGATTCATGTAAACTTTCCCCCCATCTTTTACCATTGCCTTTGTCTACCTTTTGAAGGGGTGATCCCATCTTAGAGAAATATCTTTCACATTTTAATGCAAGTGTTTCTACTTTCTAGTAATCTGTCCAACCTTAGCAGTCAGTTCATCACTGCTAAGCAGATAGTAAAATGATGTGGGCAATTACTGAAACATGAATTTCCCATTGCCCTATGACACTTAAGTCTAATTTTATCTAAACCATCATTATTAGGTCCCCATTTACATTTTAGCCTCCAAACAGAATTATTTACAAGTTTTAAGTTATAGTTATTAAACCTAGTCCGGAGCTCAACTCATAGAGGTCATTGGATCATTGGTTTAATCGGGCGTTGCATAATAGTCATATTATATAATATAATAATACATTTTAAATTATAAAAATTTAAATTAGTGGTTCAATGGACGATTTTTTTTTTAATTCATTGATTGAACCGTCGAATCGTTAATTGGTCAACATTGTATAACTGGTTTAATTAGTAATCCAATCCGATTCTATGGTCGGTTCACCTAGTTGATCAGTTTGGCCATTTGATCGAACTGTGTTTTATAATTATGGACTTTCCACCAAAGAATAAATCATGAAAAATGAAAGATTCACATTTCTTCTTCTACATAAAAACCAAAAAAAAAAGAAAAAGAAAGAGAAAATATTGAAGATTACTCATAAGATGGATACATGAAATGCCCGCAAATATAATATTTTTATTTATATGGTTCAATCTTAATACATTAGTAACCTTAGAATAATGTAGACAGTTCAACTTAAGGCATGTTATACATATATATTAATTACATATTAATATTTTCTGAATATATTTTATTCGTCTCTTACAATCATAAAACTCTAACAGTACAAAGAAGCTTTAAATTTTTATGGAATATCAATAAATATTACCTTAAAAATAAAAAATAAAATAAATGAATGTAGTTTTTTTTTTCTCCTTTTTCTGAGACTAAAAGTATGTATGCTGAAATTTAGGCGCTGTCAATTCTACACCTATAGGCCATTACAGTTTACCAATACAGTTACAGGATCCAAAACGGCATCGTCGTCTTGGCGTGGCTCATTTTCACCGTTATCCAATATTAATGGTGCCTAAGTAGCTTTTACACACAGAACACACACTTCTCTTCAGTCCTTGCACCTTTCTCCACGGCCGTAGTCAGTGGAACGTACTGCCCATTTCCCTCTCCCCCCTTCTCCTTCTCGGTTGTTTCTTCCTCCAAAGGTCCCTCACTCTTTCTCTGTCACACTCTAAAACACACACAAAATCTCACGCAAGTTATACAGAAAAAGACACGTCTTGAGTGTTTAAGAAAATGTTTGATAAAAAGCTGAAAAATAGTTTCTTTCTTTTCTTTTTTTTCTCTTCAAATATAGATATGTTGTACATGTTCTTCTTTTATGCTCATTTTTGCTAATGCTGCGGAGAATTTTGCAGAAACAAGTTCAAATTCAAGCTCAAAGTCAGTGAAATTAAGGGAGGACTGGAGGAAAAAGTCCAGACCAATTCCTCCTGGTGGGGTCTATCCAGCAAAGGACCACTGCAGGTTTAAATTTTCGCATTTTCTTGAAAGCCCTTGTTGGGAATCATTGTATTTTTTATTTTTATAAAGAATAATCTACTTGGATTTTGTTTCTTTATGCTTAGTTACAGTAACGGTAATTAAATTTTGAAGTGGCTGAAATTGGTTCCCTTGATTTCTTGGTTTGGCAGTAAATGCGGGTTGTGTGATACTTATTATATTGCCCATGTCAAGAATGCTTGTGCTTTTCTAGGAGATGGCATGTCCAGAATTGAAGTGAGTTTTTCCAGCTTTGTCTATTTATCATGCTTTTTAGTTGTCCAATTTCTGTAGCATACGGGGATAATATTTTGTATGATATGGAACTAATGTTTTATTTAACAGTTTAAACTGTTCGAGCGTGCAATATAAAGCTGGGGGAGTGATATTATTTCTTAATCTCCATCTATTGGAATGAGATAACAGGTGGCAATCATAATTAAAGTGAGAGGCTTATTGAGTATTAGTATATTGTAACAGCCCGAACGGAGTGGCTTGCTGGAAGAATACCATCCTAAGTTTTACTTACTTATAAAAGAATCTCTAAGTAATCTATTTGGAATAAATGCAATTTGATCTCCCTCCACAAACTCCCTATGTCACCTGTAAGGATTCTAAAGGTAGCTCCCACCGTGCATGGTGCAGCTTTTAGGATTCTGTAATTTGTAGGTGCATTGTGGTAGTCTCTAATAGCCAAAGTGGAGCATTAGACAGAAGTCTGTTGGCACCCACCTAGTACATTTTAGCTTGTCCTTTGGTGGTTCAGTGATCTGAAACTTTGTCTCTGAAGTCAAAAAATTCTTGCATATGAAATCTTTGAGAATTGGAAAAATGAAGTACAAATGTTGTTTGATTAAGTACTCTGGAACTTTTAGCTTAGGAAGAAAGTAGTTAGCTATACAAATTTTCTACTAAATCAAAGAATTTTCTCTTTCTAAACTATCCGATGTTCATTTTGACGAGCTATTTAGCATGTAAAGATAGGTTTGTCCAACATTCAAGTCTTATTTGATGTGCCACATTTTCTTCCTTAGGCCTCTGAGCCATCAATAGAGTTTGTACTGGTGCTAATGTTATGCAGCACAGATTCTTGTGAAATATTTAAATTTATAGTCACGTGAAGTAGATGAACTCCTGTAGATATGCAAAAAAACCAGATTCTTTAAGAGGATGTTAAATTTCTCTTTTCTACAAACCTTGTGACTCTAGTCGTGATTTAAGTTATTTCTCATTGGCATTTGCTTCAGGATAGAGTTATGTCTAAATTTAAGAATTAAATTTTTGAAGTCAATTAAGCTGCATAGTTGTTTTTTGGATGTGGTAGACAATTGAAATTATGCACCAAATAAATGTTTTCTCACATGGTAAGAGATAACCATAATGCTGTATATCTTTACATTCAAAGTGTCCTAGGAATTTCCTCCTAAGCCCTGGTTTAGCAATAGTGACTCTTTGAGATCGGTAAAAAGTTTCCAGTTTTGTGCGTGCAGTATCTTGCAATAACAAATATTTCTTGACTGTGAATTACAGTCTGTGCTGTTTTCTTGTTCGTTTTGCCTCAGGCCTTAGAACAGATGGTCCATGGCCGAGGGAGGAAAGCAGATTCGCTGGATGAGGTGTACCTGGGGGTCTATGAGAATCTTTTGTATGCTCGAAAAATTAAGCCTGTTGATGGTAAGCATATTGAGTTCTTGAACACATTTTATAAGTAGAGAAATTTAGATGCTAGATAACTAACTTAAACTTGATGCTTTTGTCTTTTATCCGGTGCTGCTACTTCTTGATAGAGGCTCATCTGAGTTTATTTGGAAGGAGTTTGGTGATTCCATAAAATATTATAGCTAATTAAATAAAATGCCCTTCATTTAGTTTTATCATTAATGTTTTTCACTCTCAAGATTTCTATATTCCAAAATTTTTAAATAAATCTATAATATAAGAGTTTTAATAAGAGTTACAAAATTATTGTATGTTACATTTAAACTGTGTATATAATCAATTTGGCCAATAGAATCGGAATGCAGGCAGCGAGGATCTTCCAGACGCTTTTGTACTTTTCTTCTTTTGCCCCTCTATGTCTGTGATTTTTCTATTCTCGTAGGTGAAAAATTGGCTGAAGTTGGTTTTCTGTCGAAACATACCTGTCTTAAGCTAACAGTTATGATGAATTCTTTTTAATCCGTGTATCTGGTGATTCCGGCTTTGATTTTGAGGCATCTTGAATTACCTGACAGATTCTTTTTGATATGTATTAGGTGATTTATATGTCCTGATTAATGCTGTTGAATAACTCATGGCTCTGGTGATTGCGGCTTTGATTTTGTGGCATCTTGAATTGCTGGACAGCTTTATGTCCTTTATTCTTTTTGAGATGCATTAGGTGATTCATATGTCTTGACTTATGCTGTTGATTTGTAGGAGCTCAGTGGACTGGAATAGTTACAACAATTGCCGTGGAAATGCTTAAAACTGGCATGGTAGAAGCTGTTATTTGTGTCCAGAGGTAGTTTACCATTTCGTGATGTTCCAAGAAGTTTGTTTATTCTACAATGGATTTAATTTTGAAAAGTTTTCATTTCTTCTGTTGTCTGGGTTCCTAATTGTCTCTTTAATTTGCTCAAGTGATCCTGAAGATAGATTTACCCCAAGACCTGTCCTAGCAAGGTTTGCTGAGTTCAATTTCTCACTTCAGCTTAGTCTTCATTTATTAAGAGACCTCTTCATTAAATCTTTTCAAATTGCCTTCTACTTATGTTCTTGTGTCTAATGTTGATGTACATGTAGGACACCAGAGGAAGTCATAGCAGCCAAAGGTGTTAAGCCTACACTATCCCCTAATCTTAACACCCTGGCCCTTGTTGAGGTTCTTCCTACAGCTCTTTAGCATTGTTACTTTCTGTTTATATCTTTATACATATATTACACTTGTGGTACTTATTGTTACTTGACATAAACTAACTCAGCTTAGCTGACATTAGATGGTATGCGATAGAGCCTTTGTTGAACTGAGAAAGTAAACTGAGAGAGTTGTAAGTGTTGAAGTGCTTCTCATAGAAAAGTGCTTCAATTTTCAATTTCATCAAGAGCGATTTTGCGCCAAACCATTGCCCACAAAATGTGCTTATGAAAGTTGCCACAATTTTTAAATCATCTCGCATGGTTTTTTTTTTTGAAGGTCCTCCTGCTGGTTCATTTGAGTTGAGTTCCTTTTTGTCTG